GGATTTTAGGATTTGGGGATGAATGGTTCTTAAGAGGAAGAAGAAGCGCGTTAATGGAGACGAAGTTGAAACTAAAATAAAATAATTGAATTTAAATTATTATCTTTTGAATTTATAGATTTTGAATTATTGATAAGATATTAAATATGTGGAGACAAATTGACGGTGAAATCATTAAATCGGAAATTGGGTAGGAAGCACATCACACAACTACATTTCTTGTCTTATAAATTATGTTTTTTTCTTTTTTCTTTTTCATATTCTTCTGATAAATATTCAATTGGAATGTTACTACTATTTCTTTGATTTCTTAGTAAAATGTTATGTTTTATACAAGCTGTTATTTGTTTAAATTTGAATTATACTACTGTTGTCAATATATTGAACTCATGTGTTTAGTTATGCGTCGCATTTTTCAGTTTTGGTTTTCGTCACTAATAAAAGTAAATATAACTAACATACTAAAAGTATTGTTATGTTATCTCTAACATCTATTAAAAATAGATAAAGTTAATTTTTCTTCTTATTATCTGATTACCATACGAAAGCCTTACGTAAGAAATATCGATCTCATTGAATCCATTTAACCACATTTATTTTAGTTGTTATGCATAAAAATGATTGTTTTTGTTGACAAAAAATAATAATATATCATTCGATGTACTGGATGCAGAGTGTACATTAGGTAAATTTCTAATTTTTTAGCTATCAAACAATTAAAAAACGATGAATTGGATGTAAAACAAATTTTCTTTTGAATTCATTTAACATTAAATTAAAAAAAAAAACATATCTTTCGTTTGTAAATATTTGGAACCTAAAGTTTTCATGACTTTATGAAAATATTATTTGTCACTATTTTTTTGTTATGGTATTAGTCGCTCACAAAATAATAAATTAATAGAGCAAGGAATTGTCAATTATATGAATTGTTCTTCAAGAATATCATTTGTTAAAAAAAAATGGTTCAAAATATGGAATTCTTAAGTTTGGAACAAGCCAAAAAAAAAAAAACCTAGTTGATATTTTTATTTTCATTAATTTCAATATAATTTATGTGAAGTTGTGAATATATAATTATAATCCAAGGAGTAGAATTTTTCTTCGATTATATCATAACCACTTACAAATCTTATGTCAAAGTTGTCATTAACATAACTTGACATTGACGAAGAATTTTGAAGCCTCTCTTTTCCCCAAAAGCTTCCAAACAAAAACTCACCATTCTTTGAAAACTCCTCTAAAGCTCTTTCAACTTCTTCAATACACCCAAAACCTTCCATCTCCATACTCAAAGACTCTTTTCTCCATTCCGAGTCAACCACGGTATTTTCTTGACATTCGCAACCGAGCCCTAATCTTTTTACTCTTCGATTTATTCCCCATTTCGCATAACACTTTCTTGAATTCTTGACAAGCTTTTGAGGAAGTCCAAGAAAGATGAAGATCGCGATCTGGAGAACAAGACAGTTGCAACAACACGATACAACGACGCAATCAGCTGCAAATGTGTTGAGATCTTCCATGGAATCTCGAAGGAGAGAGTCGAATAAGAAATAGAAAGACAATAGAAGAAATTAAAGAACAAACTAAATCCTAACATATTTTAGGTAAATTATGGGATATTTGGTTTGAAGGAACTTCTTTGTTCTTTGCTTCTATAAGGAAGACATTGGGAAAAGGCTAATCAAGGAAGCAAATATAATAAATGAAGTTATAATACAATGTGTGAACAGAATTTGTTAGATTACGATTATCATCATGGCTAATTTTCCTTGAATAACACTCTACATTAATGTAGCCATTAGATCAAGATATTCTTTTTGGTAGGGTATGAACGAAGAAAATGGTTCTCAATAACAATAAAAAGATTTTAATAAATATACTCTTTGGACATTAAATTCAAATAGTCCTCGAATGTGGAAAACGATCATGTGATTTACAAATCTTTTTGGAGATTAGCAATTGAAGTAGTGAAATAAAATATAAAAAAGTTCATATGAATTGATAGAATAGATGTGAATAAAAGATATGACGTGATTTAAAACTCTTTGTGAAAAGTTGTCCGTTGTGTACACGCTAAGTATTTTCTTATAAACATAAAAGCATAGGTTATGTGAATGGGAACATCAAGATAGGATGATAAATTGATACGTTTGGCAAAAATATGCATTAACTTTCTTCTTTTTTATAGGACCATGCCTATATATTATGGCCAAGATTTAAGAATT